GGGGGTACTGACCATATCCCTCACATATCAGACTGCCCTTAAGTGAGGTTCTTGTAGAGGGCAATGGGGAACCACACCACCAAACCACCAATACAAATCACCAATTGAAGGCAGCTGAGAAATGAGGTCTGGAAAAATTAAGACACTGGGGTCTGGAAAAAAACATCCCCTTCAATCAACTAGAAATTCAATATTTTCACGCAACAAACGTCCTGCTTCACCCATGTTTTCTTAGGGAAACAAGCATTTACGGGCTGCTCGACACGCAGAACCGAGTCGCTGCATGGATTTCTGGACTCGAGTTCGGATCTCAGGTCTCGCATCTGAAGCTAAGCTCGCAGCTGCACACGGTCAAACTCAGCTCGTCGGCCATGAAGACACCCCACGGTTTGAAGGTTTCCACCGGAGATCCCGGTGGTTGGCAGGATGAAACCCACCGCAACCTTGATGGGGCGGCTCGGCCTTACGTTGGAGCAACGAGCAAACTGCATACCACCGCCTTCGGCCCTGAAGACAAGAAGGGGCATTGGCACAGCTGGGGAAGGTCGTCAACATAGATGTTATTTTAGGGGAAATAGATGGATATCCCTGGTAGACGATTCAACCACCAGCTGCTGGGTAAGGTCGCCTTCGAAAACAACTCTTCAACTTCCCCATTCGGACTGCCTTGGGCCTCGGGGCGGATTTCTATCTACTTCCGCACAAGTCGGAGCACAAGCCAAGAGTATGGCCTCCGGCTCCAGACAAACAAGCCTGATTTGGTCTTTCTTTACAGTTCATGGGCGTACTCTGGACACGCACAGTTCGAGCAAGACTGCGTGTGCGAATGGAGCGGGGAGGCCATAGCTTGTCGGCACCGTTGCTGGCTGTGCTAAATTCCTGCAAGACTCAGGGCTCCCCATATTTCCCGGTTGGACATCACCAAAAAGGAAGCTCACGTTGAGTTGGCCCCAAAAGTGATGTTCAAAACCAAAAGGTGTATAGGAAACCCTGAAACTTGCTTGTGACATTGACGTGATCGAGAGAAGGTTCATCGCTGTGCATCCTCACCCGGCCAGCTTCTGCGACTTCCTGCATATTACCTCACGCACTAAGTCGCAAAATGTGGTTCTAGCCCGTGTTGTTGTGTCTCTCTTGTCTGGTTCCGGTTAATTAGGAAGACAGAGCACCAAATCTCCCGAGCAGACTCGATGAGATGCTTCAGACGCAGCTTCGGAAACTGGCGATGGATATATAATTAGTGTGCCTTCCAAATGGACGAACACTTCCTGGAAAAGAGCAATTCCAAAGCTTGCTGAGTAGGGAATGAAATGACGCAGGGTTTTGGGAATGAACCGGAAGGGGATAACCATAGGGCTGGCTTATGGGGGTCATTCCCTCATTCCCTGCCTATGGTTAGGATCGTCCCTTACTAACCTTCATCTACCCGGGTTTTGATTGTGGCTCACATGAACAAAAAAAAACGACGGCACCCTGGTAAGAGTGGGCTTGTTCGGGAGAAATAACCAACCCAGATGCTTGCTCGGTACCTTACGAAGCAATCTGGGAAAAAAACCAATGTGGGGTCCCCTCCGAAGAGGTACCCCGCAAGCTGCACTGGGTGACGCAGCCAAAGCTTGTCCGGCGTTTGCATTCCTCTCAAAGAAAGATGCCTTGACAATCATACGCACACAGATCGGCCCACAATGTGGGTGTTTCACCTTCAAGGAAGTCTTGCTCGGATTCAAAGTCGCTGGTCTCTGGAAGACGCCGTGTCGAGATCGCCGTCAAAACTCGAGCCAAGGCAATCAAGGCCTTTAGCTCCATCCAATTTCCCATTTGGACATCAAGGAATTCAGGGGCTGCCTGGATTTCCCCTTTCAAAGTTGCAATCTGGTGGGATCTCGCACTTTTGGAGGTTCCAACAAGGAAAATGGAGGAACCTACAAATCAGAGCCGAGAGTTACTGCGAAGCACGGCCACTGAATTCAGACCCAGGCACTCAGTGCTGCGACTCGGAATGGCTACGGTCCGGAAGCCCAAAGTGCAAGGTGTCTAGGCCTTGACATAAATGGCTGGGGCTCAAAATTGAAGAGCTAGGGCTACGCGCAATTTTTGGTCTTTGGTTCCACCTACCAAAATGCCAATTTTTTGGTACATCTTTTTGAGCCACAGCCAAATGGCTTCAAGAATTCTACCAGCCAAACATTTAACGTGTGTCAACTCAACAGGTCAAGTACAGTTCACAGACTGCGCTTAAAAGCTCTCCGTGCTCACGCTGCGCAGCTCTCGAGCTGTGCCGATCTTGACTTGGCCAGTGAGCAAGCAAAGCACCGGCTCGTGCGAGCCATATCGATTTGCCGCACGAGCAAAGTCCACCGCCTTGCGGCCCTTGGAGGTCTTGGATTCTGGGTCAGCGCCTGATGCCATTAGGATCCTTACCATCTGGTAGTCTCCGCTCTGCGCGGCCACATGGATGGGGAAGATCTTGCTCTCGCCAAAAAGTGTGAACCCGCAAGATCTCGGCCTGTTCACCGCCTGGAACTCGTGCCACTGCAAGAAGCTGCTCAGCTGGCCTTGCTGAAGGCGCCTGCGCAGTTCTTGCTTTGAAGCCCCAGACACCTCAGAGTCGGACTCGGTTGTCCATGTCGACACCTCGGAGAGGCTCGGGGAGCATTCCTCAGAGTCTGGAAACTTGGGCAACTCCGCCGCATCTGCCCGCAAGTCCGCATCCGGCTTGCTGGGACACATCAGCGCACCCAGTGCATTCATGGCACCGAAACACCAGCCCGGCTAAAAAGTTTGGAGCTGTGAAATCTTGCTCGAGGCATCTTTTCTGGACAGTGCGACCAACAAAGCAGTCGTGATAGAGGTACGTGCGGACTACAGTGGAAAATGAAGCGCAAGGGGATTCCTCCCCTGGATTCATCCAAGTGGATGTTGAGCAATTCTATTTAATTTTGGGTCACATTGAATTGTGTAGCACCAACCACCAAAATGTGTGCTTCGAATCGAGTCATTCCCAGAAGTTGATGCCGGCCGGTCATTTACACTCCTGAGTAATATGGAACCTGAAAAGCCACTACTAGGTCCTCCAGTAGAGAGGTTAGAACAAGGGTACCCACTTTTTGCTGTAGTCTATTTTAGTAGGGGAACCCCCCGAACCAAAAAAAGCCCCCCCCCAAAAAAAGGTGAGAAAGTTGGCACCAATTGCTGGGGGACCTAGACTATGTTCAGAGCTCGTTTGTCTGTTCCACCGGAGGATTTTGCCGGGGACACGGTCTCCGTGTCGGCGCCGCTGGCGCCCCCTGCAGCCCATCTTCCACGAATCCGGAGATCTTACGCCCAGCAGCCTGGGACCCTGGGAGCGTCTCTTTTCGGGGGAACGGCGGCTTCAGTGGCTGGGGGGCCTTCCTGGCTTGCCTTTCAAAACCACCTGGATCGCCAGGTGCGTTTTCGGCTTTTTTCCATGCACTCAGACCCCCCAAAACCAGGAACAGTGACTGAAGAAAGCAGCAACTTGGCCACCTAGGAAATTAAATGCGAGAGAGAGAGAGAAGCAAACCACTCTCACCTGTTTTGCACCCGGAGGCTCCGATCGGCGTCGGCGTTCAATGGAAGCCGAAGCCCCAGACGAAGCATTGGCCATTCGCCACGAACCCCACACCACAACATGAAGGCCAAATGGGTGGGGGCAGCCACCGCCACCGCCCACCTTCTCGAGGGGAAGGGGGTCCCCTTTCTGGGATGGTTTTGAAGGGAAACCTAAAAGGACACGAACCCTGGATCGCCAGTTGCGATCGCTTTTTTTCCATGCACTCAAAACCCCAAAAACCGATCGCAACAGTGACTGAAAAAAACGATCGCAACTTGGCCGACACTTGCAGCCGTCCAACTTCCCCACTGCCCGGGGCCTGACATCCGGGCGCCGAAGGATCGTCTCGGCGCGGTTGGCCTGACATCCGGCAAACCAAGCCGGTCATAAGTGTTGAACAGAGGGATATGCTAACCTCCCCAAGTAACATGGAACCTGACAGAGAAATGGACCCTTTAAAGGGAAAATGGTCTTTCGGGACCCAAGAACGTCAGGTTCCATGCGAAAAGGGTGGGAGGGCAACATTGTCAACGTACCGCAAATTTGATGGAAAGGGCAGCCACTCCCCAAAAAACCCGGCACGGGTAAAGATCGGGGGCCCAAACTCAGAGCGCAGCAACATGCGCAACAAAGACTCTTCGAAAAGGATTCACTGAGCTCGGCCCGGGCCAAGGGCACCCAATCCATGCGCTAAAGTGATGGCCGGCCACATGCCCTACCTGGCAAGCACTAAGCTGGCTCCGGGCCCCACTTGGATCCCGGAATCCCTGAGCCCAGGGGAGCCAAGGTACCAAACTTCTACGTACCCCTTGGACAAAGGGGAACCCCCATATCCTCTCCCCAAAAGGGGTACTCCTTATGAAGTGGGCTGGAAACCACGGAAGCCAAGGGGTATGAACAAGGGGTATGTACTTCCACCCTTAGACTGAGGCTCCCGTGGTAAAGGCCCTTCCTACTTGGATGTTCGATTCGCCAAGTTCGTAAGTGACCAACGCCGCCTGAGGTTGTAAGTTATAACCCACTAATGACCAGGTTACCCCCACTTAAGGAGGCTGCAAGAAGTGGGAGGTATAACCCGAAAGGTTACCAACATCTTACTAACTTGGCGAATCGAACACCCAAGCAAGCTATTTAGTGCGCGGCATTCCTCGGAAGTGCACTTAAAGGAAGATGTCAATGTTCGCGAGAAGAGGCTGGCTCCCCGAGTTCTGCATTTGGGAGATTGTGTAACAGGGGAACAAATGGACTTGTCTCAAAATAGGAGGACCCGAAAAGCTTCGGGGTTTCCTGCTTTATTTGGTTTGCCTTCAACACCAAGGTAAAAAGGGTACCGAGCCTGTAAAACACGAACCCAAGTGTCGTGTGGTGAATTTGCGCCTTTGTCAGCTTGTATCCCTCTCGAACCAGACCCCTGCGCAGGCTTTTTCTCGCCGCTGAATGAAGCTGTGAGTCGGACTGGACTTCAAAGCTGATTTGATTGCGTGTGAGATTTTATCCCAAACGCGGAACTCAAAGACTCAAAGTCCTTTCAAAAACACGCATCACTTCACAGCCCTCCACTTGACAGCACTTCAAAAAAACAGATTGCCTCTGTGGAAGAAGCTGGAAGCTGCGGCAAACTGTCGCAGTGCGGAATTGGAGTTCGCCAAACCGCGGCTATGTGATGTCTGCGTGGGGTTCGGGAAGACCTTCGAAGAGAGCCTCATGACTGGAGGGTTGGGCGCTCCCAGTTTCTCATCACACCATCAGTTTTTACACCGGCAAAGCAAAACAAGGGAAAGGAGGGCCTTGCCCCCAAAAGGAGTGTCTTCTAAGAAGGAGTCTTTGTGGGCGCCATCTTGACTTGCGAAAGTGCGAAGCCTCAACCCTCTGAGTTTCCATTCTCAAAGCGGTCCTTTTTGCCTGCGGGCCTGATCGCTTTATCATCACCACTTGCACACCCTGCACGACCTACCACATTTTCAAGCACGTGGGTGTGTCTCCAAAACACAGAAGTCATTGCACCCTTCAGCCAATCCGCCCTGTCTTCTTGGTGGATTTTGGGTTTTGCGGGCGTTTTCTGGGCAGGACTTTCAACTTGACACGCAGGCGATCGCAAAAGGAAGACCCTGGCCCCTCATTGACCAGAAGGTGCTTGAAAGGAGAAGCGTCGCAACCAATGAAATCGGTTGAAGCAGCACCCGACTTTAGATTCCCTATCCGACCTGTAAAACTTGGAAGAACCTACAGAACCTACAGAAATCAGCAACCGGTATGGGAGAAGCCCGGGAAGCCTTCCAAAAATCCACCCGCCAGCCTTTTCTAGGGCGAAAGGGGCGATTGATTGCAGCCATGAATCACCGTGAAACAGGGATGGGTCATCCTTCAAACTGGGCGAGGCCCCTTGGGCCTGCCCCGGTTTTCCTGGATTCCTTGAGGTCCACAACAAGCCCCGCTTTGAAACTTTGCCGGCCTCCAGTACCCGCACCCGCACCCAACCCAACCCCCCCCCCCCCCCAATGCGCGCCTGGAAGGGGCTTGCTCGGGGCTCAGTTGAGCACGGCGTGCTGGATGATGGAAATCATAAAGGCGGCCGTCATGGCCACCCCCGGCAGCACCAGCTTCGACTTGCCCTCGCCCTCGCCCTCTGAGTCCTACGGAAGTCTACGGAAGTCACCATCTCACCCGAAACGGGGAAAAAAAAGGAAACCCATGAAAGAAAGGGGAGCTTTTCCGCCAAGAAATCAGGGAAATTAGGTCTTTGGAAGGTTTCCTCAAGGCCTCCAAGTGGAGGGTTTTGTATGAGACTGACATCCAAGTGAAATCCCCTAGCGAAAGTGTGGTTTTAAGTGTAAAGGGAAACCGGGACCCAAAAATGATTCTGAGAACACCATACTTGCAAATGATTGGAGGGAACACAAAAAAGATCCTCCAACAAGAAGGTTCCTCCAGGAATTGTGGCTAACATGTGATGTCAAAATAGGGCGAACCCAAAAGAGTCTTGGATTTCCTCCTGGTCTCTCTGCAAACAAATGATGAAAACGATCTGAAAAAGTCGTGCCAACTGTGCGCAGACCCACCCCACTATGGCGCAAACTCCAAGACTCCACTGCACACACCCAACTGTGCACAGACTCATGTGAGGGGCTGCACCAAAGTTCCGGGCACATTGCTATGGGACCTTCGCCACGGCTTGTCCAGAGTACTGTTGACCCCGAATCTAACCCGTCCTATGATGGGGGGGATCCCTCCAAAATGAGGTAGCCCTGAAAGGGGACACCCCCTATGAGGGGGGGATGTAAGCCGTACCAAAAAGGAGACACCCCCCCTATGAGCCAACCTGGGGTTTATGAATCCGGGGTACCCACTACTTTCGCCCAGCTGTAGACAACAACAATGCAGCTCCAATGATCCTCACAGTTCAGATCCCCATCGAAAACGAGACGCTCTCACAAAACCAACGTGCATCCTATCCGTTAGAACTGCATGTTTTCAAGGAGACGCACCTTAGAGAGTTGGTGTTTTGTTTATGTTTCCAGGTGAATTACAATAGTTCACCAAGCTGAAGCTTGCAGTGGGTGGTTCGGGGGATATTCCCCACATAAACCGCCATTTGGGTCGTGAATTCGGTCGTGTGAGGTCGCTATTCACCCAGATGTTTGGTCCCTCAGACTTCCGCCAGGAACCGAAACCCGTTCTAGTTGGCCACAGCGAGTGGTTCGAAGTTTTGAGACCTAACTATAAGTCGGTTTTGGGGACGCCCGCCATTTTCATACTTGGACACCAAAAGAAAACCAGGCCTACAAAACGTGAGGTCCACTTTGTGCCGTGGCCACGTGGCTGTTTGGCAGACATCAAACCCCTTGAAACCCACGCTAAAGGAAGGTGGCCACACGAGGAAATTGTCTGAGTCCAAAAGTTTCGCCACATGGGGTGCTTTTTGTGTTTTTAGTTTGGTGGGCTTTTTGGTGGGGGGTTTAAAAGGACTTTAAAGGGGTATGATTCCTATTTTCAGACACGCTCGTATACCAAGAAGCAAAGGACTAAGCCATCCAAACCACCATCCAAACATTGGCGGGGGGGGTTGTGTCGGCTATGCAGCCGCGGATTAATCAACCCCAGTTTATCAATACAAAGGTTCATCACTTTTGTGGGGAACAACCCCCTGTTAATAAACCGGGGGTTGATTAATCCGGGGTACACATTAAAGTCTATGTTGCAACGGGTCTGGTATCCAAAAAAAGGCCTTTCCACGCGGTTGAGGCTGCAAAATAGCCTCTCCCCCCAAATCAAAAGGGCAACAAGAATATGCAAACTGAGATACTGTAGATGGACGAAATCCAGCACCACCTAAGAAGCCCTGGAGTGGCGATTCCCCTGTAAACACCAACAAGCGTTCTGGTTTCAACCACGGTTTCTTAGATGGTGCGAACGGATTTCGTGCATCCACGGCACGTCGTGTTCCATGATCTGGGTCCCATGAGGGGAGGGGGTTGATCCTATGACTTCGGTCAAGCAAGAGTCCCTGGAGTCGTGGTTGATTGGGAGAAGGTGTCCCATTTGCTCTCTACAAAAGCCAGGTCAAATCCTGGCGTTAGGGGGTTAGGGGGTTAGGGGGTTAGGGGGTTAGGGGGTTAGGGGGTTAGGGGGTTAGGGGGTTAGGGGGTTAGGGGGTAGGGGGTTAGGGGGTTAGGGGGTTAGGGGGTTAGGGGGTTAGGGGGTTAGGGGGTTAGGGGGTTAGGGGGTTAGGGGGTTAGGGGGTTAGGGGGTTAGGGGGTTAGGGGGTTAGGGGGTTAGGGGGTTAGGGGGTTAGGGGGTTAGGGGGTTAGGGGGTTAGGGGGTTAGGGGGTTAGGGGGTTAGGGGGTTAGGAGGATGGGGTTAGGGGGCACAGGGGGCACCAATTCAAGCCAAAAACCTCTGAACCTGCCACGACTGGGTCGCAAGTCACCGCTTTTTCGGGGTTAGGGGACACAGAGACACACGGACAGACCAACAATCAAACAAAATGGCACAACTAAATTGAACAAACACGCAAACAGGCAAAGCAATGAACAGCAAACAAACAAACAAACAAACCAAGAAACACACGAACAAACAAACAAACAAAGCCAAAGTCAAGAAACCTCAACTGGTGGTTCTGTTATTGCAAAACAACTAAGCAATAAATGCCAAACAAAAAACAAACATAAGAAACAAAGTAGAACAAAACAGACCAACACAAAATAAAACAAAACATAACAGCCAAAGACAAAAAAAAGACTCCAAAACACAAGCCAAACAATAACAACAGGGCAAAGCAAAACATAACAAACAAAACAAAACGAAACGAAACGAAACGAAACGAACGAACAAACAAACAAACAAACAAACAAACAAACAAACAAACAAGCAAGCAAGCAAGCAAGCAAGCAAGCAAGCAAACAAACAAACAAACAAACAAACAAACAACAAAAACAAACAAACAAACAAACAAACAAACAAACAAACAAACAAAGCCGGAAACCAAAAAAAAAAACGAGAAGCGAGAAACGCGCGCTGAACTGGCGGGTGTTTTTCTGATTTCTTTTTTTTTCTCTCTCTCTCTCTCTCTCTCTCTCTTCTCTCTCGGGGCGGTTCCTTGGACTCCTTGGTCTTCCGCAGTTGGAAGGTGCCGCCGGTGCTGGTCACCTGCTTGGCCTGGCGCTTCTGCGCCAGCAGCTCCTGCACCGCCTGAAGCGGACGCTTTCTGAAAAATATTCTCGCCGAAGCCGATTTTTTTCTGAAGGATCCTTTGGCCATGCACAACGGTGTGGATGCATCTCTATGGGGTGTGCCCTTTACTTGGATTTCTCTGTGGCTTTCTTCTTTGGATTTCTTCTTTGGATGTATGTCTGGGTGAATTATCATATTTCACCAACCTGAAATACGGTGGTGCGGGGGCCATTCCCCACATAAACCACCATTTGGGGTGGATTCGGTCGTGTGAGGTCGTTATAATTCACCCAGATCTCTATGCCCTCTTTTTTTGTATTTTTGGAGGGGTGCCAACTTTTGACTCCGAGGGGTGCCCTGCTTATGGGGTCTTGGTGGCGCTTAGGCAGGGATGGAAGGAATGAGCCGCAAATAACCAACGGCAAGTCTTGTTTCTTGACCATTGCAACAACGCCCCCCCCCCCCCCCAGTTTTTTCGCTCCACTAACCCAAAAAAAGTTGGGTGTCACTGGAAGCTTTTCAAAAAACGGCTGGGGCCTAAGAGGTTCCTTTGTTTAACCCATGAACCCACTGGAACCAACCTGCGATGCAGGCCCACACCGACGCTCAGACCTGCGAAAAGTCGAGAACCTTTAGTGGATGAAACTCGGAAATTTAGTCAATTTCGAGAAGAAAAAAAGGGGGAAAAAAGAGGAAAAAAATGGGATGGCTAAAAAAACGAGGAACAAAAAGGAAGAAAAAAAAAGGAAGAAGGACAATGTGAAGTGGGGGTCGCATCGCTGGTGCCTAGAAGTTCTACAAACGACAGAAAAGCCGGGGGGGAGGGGGATGGGCAAGAGATTTGTTCAACCTGAACAAGCCCCGAAAACCAGGCCCCCCCAAAAAAAAAACAAGAAAAGAAAAGAAGAGAAAGTAGAAAGACTGAACAAATTGAGAGAGGAAGCGGAAAAAAGGGGGCGATCGGCCAGTACTCATAAGAGTACCTACAAGGGCAGGGTACCCCACTTAAGTTTAGTCTGTACGTCAGCCGGAATCCTTTTGGAACGTTTTGGCAAAGGCACAGACCTTACTAGAGGTATATGGTGAGCTTTGCCAGGGCAAAAAAAGACCAACTCATAAGGCTTTGAGTTGGGGAGGAAGGGGATCTTTCAACAAAGGCCCAGCAACCCCCGGTAGGGGGGTTGTTGGGTTGCTTGAAACCAAAGGCAAAGCGGGAGTGGGAGATGATGCTTGTGATACCAAAATGAGTTTGCCCCACGAATAGTCGGAAGCACAGAAAGTGGCACCCAAGGCCTATTGTCCACAATCATCCACCCTGGGCAGCATGGGTAAGACCCTGGGTCAGACCCCTGAACTGCCAAATCTAAGCCCAACGGAACCGACTCAACAGACTGACCCCCATATCAATCAACCCCCAGGTTGATTAATAGGGGGGGCCCTCCAAACGTGGTCTCATTCCAACCGCTAAACCCAGGGACACCCCCCTATTAATAAACTAGAGTTGATTAATACGAGGTCAACTTGCATCCCAAACAATCCCCCCCAACCATTGAGCCGTCGCACTGTCGCTGCACATGTCACCACGTGCAAAATTTCCAAAAATACAAGAACGACCACAACAAAAAGCAAAAGCGCCCAGCTCCCTTCACCCGCAACAATTCTGAAGCCCAACCCAACCAAAGCAACACTTTAAACGGTTTTGCCCTTCCCGTTGTTCCGGCTTGGCTCAAAACCCGTCCCCCCCCGGCTCCCCCCGGCTCCCCCCGGCTCCCGCAACCCCGGAACCTCCCCCGCCTTCTCCCGCTCCATGCGGACCTTGAAGTCCGGGTCCGCGCCGAAGGCCTCCTTGGCGAAGCCCACCATGCCCAGCCCGTTGTTCCTCGCGCGTCGGCGCGCGTCGACGCGCGTCGGCGCGAGGGAGCTATGAAGAAGCGGATCCGGAGCGGCTCGGGCGGACGGATCTGAGGGGCGGGGCGGAGGCCTTTTTTGTGATCTCGTTTGGTGTGGCTGGGCCGCTGGTTGGGCCGTTTTGGAGGGGTGCAGTGCACGTGTTTGAGCTGTTTTGCATGGGTCACCCTTCATGGTTCCCTTCATGTTCTGAGCCGTTTCTTTTGGGAGGGCTCCCCTTTGAGGACTGACCGGAAAGGAAGCTGAAGCTGGGCAAGGCCCTAGTAAATCTGGGCCGCTGGCTCGACTTTTTCAGCTTTTGCGGAGATATTTGGGTCGAGAATTGTCATATTTCATTCCCCACATAAACCACCATTTCGGGTGAATTCGGGTGTAAGGTCTTTGTTAATTCACCCAGACATGTTCAGTCAGTTGCAAGCTACAAATTCAGCTGCTCTGGCCGGTTTCTCGTCGTGCTAGTCGCGTTTTTGCTCAGTCGCAAACCAAAACTGTGACTCGACCAGGGGCCAAGGAGTCCGGCTCTGCAGAATTTCAAAGAGGCAGCGTGAGCAAATCGAAGGGAACTGCTGAGAAACAGGGAGAAAAGGATGACGGTCGGCTCGATTCAATCACGTGATGTGGCGTGTATGTGAATCAACATGTGGGTGTGGGTCAAAAATAGGTACCCAAAAGGGAACCCTGGCAAATGGAAACAACGAGTAAAATGTGCGGTCCACTGGTGATTTAATTCTGACCCACACCCATGTCGATTTATATATATACATATAATTGTGTAAAGATATACGCATCACACATGTGTGTGTGTAAGCAAGCCAAGCAAGCAAGCAAGCAAGCAAGCAAGCAAGCAAGCAAGCAAGCAAGCAAGCAAGCAAGCAAGCAAGCAAGCAAGCAAGCAAGCAAGCAAGCAAGCAAGCAAGCACGCAGGCAAGCACGCAGGCAAGCAAGCAGGCAGGCAGGCAGGCAGGCAAGCAAGCAAAACGCATGTTGCAAATATACGTCCAACTCTGGATGGAACCCATCTATATCGCACACATTCGGACATGCAGAAGAAGAGTCGAACCCCCCCACCCCGATGGATCAGACCAGGTGCACCACTCCCTCCAGGAAGCTCTTGGGAGTGAAGAAGGCCTCAGCTTCAAGCGGTGAAGACCCGAGAAGATACGCGCCGCCCATAGGTGTCCTGTTGGGAGGGTTGAATAAAAACTACCACTAAACCAACAAAAGGCACCAAAAAAGCTAAGGAACATAGTTCTCCTTTTAGGGGAAATAGATGGATATCCCTGGTAGATGAGAGAAAACCTCCAGGTACTATTTTTCGAGCAAAACAACCAAAAAGGACACCTATGGTTCCCCCAAAGGAGCCATCTTGCGGCTCGGAATTTAACCGGGCTTCCAACTCGTTCAGGGCATCCACGTCAGTTCTGTCCGCCGGCTCATCATTTGGGTGTGTCTTCTTTTCCAAAACATGGCTGGGGTGTCCTGTTGGTGTCCCTTTGAATCTATCAAGAAGGGGTAAACTCAGAAAAGACACATCCATCGTGGGCATTAACGTCCAAGGGCTCCGACTTGGTGTAGTGGGAATCCACGACTTTACCACTTTAGGGAAGGACAGGGCACCGCAGATCAGTGCCTCGCCGTGGTTCTAACCCACCGCAGCCGGGGTTCAGCCATGGTTGCATCTCGGGATGTGGGGCGATTCCATGTGTTTGCTGAGCCTGGCGGGTACGATACCCAGTTGTACTCTTCCAACCCAGTCCCAACCCAAAATGAAAAAACCCGTCCCAAGCCCCGCAAGTACCGTTGCAGCCATAGTTGTAAGTAGGGTAACTGGGGTTGGTTCCCTTATAACCCTGGCCAAAAGCTACTTGACTGATGTGTGGGTTGAACATCCAAGAACCCCCCAAACTTGTGCTTGCTCACCCTTTGTACCATGAACCCTTCGGGTCCTCAAACTGGAATGGATGTTGGTGTCCTCATGAGTTGGTGGCTCGTCTGATTCAAGGTTGGACCCACCAACATGGGGATTCCGGCCTTCCTCTTGGTCTCCCTTTCACACAACCAAAAAGGGTTCTTGAAGAAAAGACAGGGCTCCCCATGTTCAACATTTCAGCCTCCAACATGGTACCCAGCCTCGTAGAAAGGAACAACACCCATCCGAACAGCAAGTAGTAGCCAGCAACCATTGTTCTCACCCACCGAAGACATGGTTGTAAGGCCCCTGAGTAGGGTTTCAACCAGGGGTGCGAACCACATTCCTGAGGTACCCTGCCCCGATGCCCCTGGCAGAAGGGGTCACCATCGTTTCCCTTCCGAACAAAACTAAAGGGTACAAAGGGCCGCACAAGAAGCTCAAGGGTACCGAGCACAAGAAGGGAGCACATCCATTTCCTCTTGGTTTCCCAAAAAAGCCGTACACTCAAAAATGCCCCACCAGCTTCCTGGTCCAAAAACCCCTTTCCCCAATACTGGCCCGCACCACCCCCCCCCCCCCCGGGGAAAAGAAAAAAACGCCAAGAGCGCCGCTCCCACGACGCGCTCGCTCGTTAAAAGGGGGCTAAACAAATACAGACTTGGTTGTTTTTCCCATGAGAAGGTCATGTGGTACAGAACCCAACTACTCCATGAGTACTTTGATCCTAGTATTTTTCCTTAAAACTCCCTCTTTCCCCGACCTCCCCCCCCCTCCCCTCACCAAGAAAACGCCAAACGCCGTGCCCCCGACGTTTTCGCCCGCGCCACACGAATCACTTCGTCCCGGGTGCGGCGTTATGCTTCTTCTCGGTCTCCAGCACCGGTCGGACCTTCACCTCGAAGTGCTGGCCCGGCGCTTGGGCCTGACATGGCGCGAGCCAAAATAGGCGGAAATCAACCAGGCTCCCACCATAGGTGTCCTTTTATGTTGGAAATAGAGGGATATCCCTGGTAGATGATGATTAAGCCACCAGGTAAACCGATCGGAATCGCTCTCTAGTTTTCTATCAAAACAACCTTTCAAAGGACACCTATGGTCATGACCCCTTTGGACCCAATGCACAGCCCCGAACCCTCCCATTAGAGAACCCAAAGCGACCAATTCCTCAAGGGCCGGAAAGACAACAACCCATTTTGAGGATTTGCCCAAACCATCCGGACCCTTGGGGAACGCAGAAACATCTCAGGAAACTCCCACTTTACTTGCTTGAAGTTGTGCTCGCTTTACTTACGCCGGGACCCAGCAATAAAAATATGTCTCGGCCTTTTGGAAGCAAAAGACGAAAAATCACATCAGGGAACCAAAAGGTTAAAAAGTCGGCATCCCTAAATCAACCCTAAGACCAACCCCAAACTAGCTCCAACCAACCCACCCACTATTTCACAAGAGGACAAATAAATTTAGGAAGGAGGAAAAATACACCAAAAATATATAATCCATGTATAGATACGTCTACACATATGCTTTATGCAAATATGTTTAAAACAAATTGAAATGTCCAAGCAATGTCTTCAAACTTCAAATATCGCCAACTAATAAGCGAAACAAATTCATTTCAACCTCAATATACATGAACCACGTATATAATTCTCCTTTTTTCACCGACTGCTCAAACCCTCCACCGGCCCAACACGTCCCAGACAAAGCATTGGGCCAGCTCCGTGGCCTTCTTGCCAAGAGCCCGAAAAACACAAAATGGCCACGTCCTTCTTTGAGGGTACCTGTGCCCGTTTTCAGATTTTCCCGGCGAAAAGTGACGAACCTCTGGTGGGTGGAATGGAAACGACCACTTCAGCGCCAAAAAGATCTCAAAGGCTGAGGGACCGGATGAATCGCTGGGCTCGCCACCAAGGAGCGCCGTCGGCTGAAAAAAGGGACACCGAAAAGGACGGCCGTGGCGAGAAATCCTCGTTGGGGGTCCCGGGTCCTAATCCTAAAAAAAGGAGAAGAAAAAAAGTGAGAAAAAAAATGAGGAAAAAAATGAGGAAAAAAGGACACCCCCATGCCATGCCCTTCGCAGGTGGAATGCTGCTGGCAGGGTGTCGTTTCAAACCGCGCTCAAGGCCCCCCAAACCCAGGAGCCTTCAACACACACACACACACACACACACACACACACACACACCCGCCCACCCACCCACCCACGCACGCACGCACGCACGCACGCACGCACGCACGAACGCACCCACACACACACACACACACAAGTTGTTGCTTTTTTTATTTTATTTGGCAACCCCCAACCTCCCTAAAGGTCGCGCACGTGCAGTGCGAGACCCGGATTTGTTCCTTCGAGCCTTGATCTTGGTTTGGCACGCGCAGACCCACTTGCCGTCGATGTTCACCGCGCAGGTCTTGCACTTCCCCTTCTTGCACTTGTAGCCTCAGCACTTCCATGGCTGGCCTTTCTTTTAGGACTTGGACCCAACAAAAATCGATTTAGTAGTTTTTTCCCATCTGATTGAACGAGTGAAAGCACCGGTACCTTTCGCACGACTCGGATCTCACTCCTGAGGGCCCAAGGAACCAGACCAAATCCCCCAAAAGGAAAGAGGCAAGCCTTAGAAAGAGCTCAAGGAAGCCTTGTAAGCACAAGGAAGCCTTCTAAGGAAGCCTTCTAAGGAAGCCTTCTCAGGAAGCCTGGTAAGGAATCTTATACGGAGCCTTCTAAGGAAGCCTTGTAAGGAAGCCTTGTAAGGAAGCTTAGAAGGAGCCGAGCCTGATAAGGAATCTTATGCACAGCCTTATAAGGAAGCCCAGAGGTTGTGCGAACCACGAAGCTCGAAGGGAGATATGCCCAAAGCATATTTGTTGGGGTGGGTCTTTGGCTGAGAAGATTTGCGCCCCGAACCGCACCAATGCCACCTGTCAGCCAGACGAGCCATGCCGACCCCCGGAGTAAATCTCATGAAGTTACTATCAAAAGAACCAAACCAACAAGTTCGAAAAAGGAAAAATATGCCCCCCAAAAAAATCCCGGAACTTGGGGTGGGTGTGGGGGCCGAGCTGCACCAAGATGCTCAGCAAAAAAAGATATGTCCCAATATAATTCTACAAGCGTTATTCTTGGTGGTAATATAGTAGTCGAGGGCCTTGCCTAGCAATAAATTGCTTTCATACATACACCCCCCCCTACAACTTTTTCCATCTTCCATCTTCTACCCTTATTTGTTTTCATCATTTTTCTACATTCCTTTCTGTCCATCTCATCCGTTTTTTCTCATCATTTTTCCAAAATTTTCGCCATCCTTTTCTCCTTCCTCCTCACCTCATTCATTTCACCAACTACCCTTCAAAATGTCATCTCCTCAATCTCCTCACCTCATCCATTTCAAAAAAATAAATTTTGCAAAATATATTGCAAAAAATATTTGTCATCAAAAACAAAATCGAACTGTCTAAAAACGATTTGTCCATTTCTCAGACAAAAAATAGAACAGCAACAACATCACTCCCCTCCTTCGTTTCATCACTTTCATCATATATTTGTTTAGGCGTGGTGTCCCTTGTAGGATTTTATCTTCAATATATAAAACGCTATACTTACATTATAATTATAACATATAAGGGTATAAATGTTATAATCATAGTATGATTAAGAATTATGGGTTACATTTATAGTCAGGAAATATGTCTTCAAATATGTAATCTACATATTTATCAATATCACCAATGTCTATATATTTGATATTGTCTTTTCCTATTATTGAATAAATATATTCCCAGAAAAACAAATTAACTAGTAGCCATACTTGATATTTAGTGTTGTAGTAAGACCATACATGATATTTAGTTATTCTAAATTCATTCAAGACCTCGTTTATTTTATCTTTACTTAATAAATGCCAATCAATCGCTTCAAACATGTCTCGAATTTTTTTAACAAATGCTTTATATGGTTTAATTGCGTTTGCTCCTCCAAACCTCTTAATTAAATCTTTATTATTAAAGAACTCATCAATTTCTTTTTCAAATGACTTTCTAGCAATTTTATGGTAAAAACATACAGGAAATCGTTTTTGATATCTCATAAAGAATTTTAATTGTAATTGAAACTTTGTATATCCCTTATCCTTGTGTTCTTCAACAAAAAACTTTTCAAGGTCTCTTGTTTTACAGCATTGATTACAATATACATCATATTCACTTATTTTATTACATAGATTGGCGGGTAATAACTTATACAATGTTATATTAACATCATTCCTTTTAGGTTTACAACATTCGCACTTTGAATAATTAAATAACATTTCCACTGTAATATATATAGTGTTTATTTCTTTAAATACTTTTTTACAAGAAATAAAATTACATATTCAAATATAATTATAACATATAAAATTTTACATGTTATTATTATATTATGATTATAATTTCAGTTCAGGATAACTATTTAATTGATATGGTTTACTTCTTTCATACATCATTTTAAATATAATATAATATCTATCACCATATTGTTAACATTAAACTGTTCACTTTCAATATATGATTTAATGATTTTTTTACATCAAACCCTCTTTTTCTTTGATAAATCAATGCCCATAGTATGTAGTAAATAATGTCATACTTTTTCTTACTGATTTCAAGAAATGCTTTAACATAATCATAAGGTGGTATTTCATACACAGTTAAAAAATATCAAAATGTCATCTTCAACATTTCTTTCATTAAACCTTTTAATGTCCAAATTATATTCGATTGCTTCTTGGTAATATCTCCATTTTCTACAAATTTTACATATATTGTTGTTATCCAAAGAATAATCAATAATATTATTAACTATTCCATTAGGTAAATTCAATTTATATAATTCCATATTTTCTTGTTTGAAGTGGCAACAGTCGTAGCATTTCTTATTGATATAGCTGTTGATTTCGGTTTCAACCATTGCTATTATAATATATATAGGTGTTATTTATTTAAATATTTTTTTACAAGAAATAAATTTATACCTTTAATAACTCATGTCTCAAAAATGCCCTGTCATAATTTTCAATATAATAATATTCCTGTCCTAATTTCTTTTCTGTCTTTGCTATTGTGTAAGTCTGCTTTGTGTAATTTCCTACTCTCTCTTTTTCATTTGGTCTCCTTTTCCTGAATATCTTAACTTCATTTCCTACATTTAAATCTGGATAAACTCTATTTCTTTTGGCTTTCATACCTAAATTTAAACTCACTTCTAATTGGTGTTTAGGCTTTCTTGCTTCTGACGGTGTTAAGCCGTGCGAAGTGTGCTTTATTCCATTGTTATAGGTTAATATAATCTCGTGTATGTAGTCTGTCCATTGAATAACCTTTCCTTTTTTCTCATCGTTTTCAACCCTCTTATACAAGCTATCTTTAAACGTCCTTATCGCCCTCTCCGCAAATGCTGGGTGTCCTCTGGTTCTGTGCAACTCTATTTTTTCACCCTTCAAGAAATCTATAACACTTTGATTGTTATAAGCTCCTTCGTCGTCAATATAAATTAGTTTGGGCTTTCCACCCATTTTTTTAATACATTCCATCAGTCCTGCTAAAATGTCCGCTGGCTGTTTTGACATAAGCGGGACAACAACCATATACTTAGAAAATATGTCAATACACATCATGCCAACTTTCATTTTTTGTTTAGGGATATCATTAATGAAAAATAAATCAATTTGAAACTCATAATATGCGTTAGGAGCTACAAATGAATTCTGTCCTCTTGGCTTGGCTTTCTGTTCTACATTCTTCCTAAAAAACTCATTAATATCGTTTATAGTTATTGTGTTATCCTTTTTTCTTGCTTCTTGTAAAGTGCGGTTCTTTGACCCGAAGCCTCCCTTATCATAATAAACATTATTAATAATATCTTGCTTAGATGCCATATAAAATAAGATAGATATTATTTTTCCCGGCGATTACAGTTTAAACAGTAAGATATACAGTTTTCCTTATGATGGGCATAATCGTTGTTTATTCTTTGGGCTGTCATATTACTATTTATTACTCCATTATTTATTTCTATGTCAAACTCTGAACTGCATTTATTACATCTGGTATTAAGCCTGTCAAATAACCATTTGACATCAATATATTTTTTGTTGTCTATCTCTCTCTCTCTCTCTCTGCTTTCATGTCTTGTATTGTATATTGTTTAATCGTATGTTCTAAATATCTGGTTACTTGTGCTTCATTTAAATCAGTATCATCTATGTCTGCTTTGAAAAACTTGACTTTATTGATATCTCTGCACCTTGTAATCGCTGTCCAAATCCACTCACGGCTGACCAAATGTGATTTATCCCATTCGTGTATAGTAATGCTTTTATCTACAGACGCCCCTTGAGACGAATGACATGTAGCACAATACGCATGTATAAAGTGCTTGTCTGAAGTCGTGGTGTTTGTCATGAATATAGTTTTACTTTTGATATCTTGGATTTCTACTTTCCAATCATCAATACTAATAATTTCATAAGTAATATTTACATTAAACACCTGCCCCATTTCTTTTTTATAAACTCTGCATATCACATGCTCTCCAATTTCATATTTATCTGTCTTTCCTAAATTATTTCTTACGGTTTTGCTCACCCATTTGCACCTAGCATTAGTATAGGCTATGTTATGCTCTCCTTCCATGATGTCGCTTGTAGTTTCAAAATGTTTATTTACTATTTCCTTAAAGGGCAGTTTACTTTTCCAAATGTCATTATATATATCATTCAATTTAATTTTATCTTCTTCTGTCTTAAGTCTCTTAGATATCTTAAGATAAATCTTAAATTTAAATATTTGATTAAGACAGTTGTTTAAATATGTCTCGTGGTCTTGGGTGTTAGTTAAATCAGCTATAGGTTTCAACTGCTTCCCGTCAGCAGTTCCTATAATTATCTTCTCTGGGTGCGTATCCTTAAACTCCCTAACTCTGTTCAAAATATAATTACCCGCCATGCCTAGCTCATCAAACACAATACAATTATAATCAGAATGGTCAAATGTCGGTAGTCTTTCTCCAGCTTCTATTGGGATACTAAAAAATTTGTTTAATGTTATGGCGTCGGCTTCGGTTTCTTGCTTCTGCTTGTTATTAGGACATACGAATAACACATTATAACCTAGATTTTTCATATATTCGCCTATATAACTCTTGCCACGTCCAGCCAGTCTTGCTTTTATCAAAACCGGATTACATGACACAATTTGCTCACAAATGCTTTTGGTGTCGTATTCGTCTTTAACACGAATTTTTACATTATTGTAAGTCGGAATTTCTGATAACTCATTAACCTTAATTTTGTATATATCGCTCGGTGGTGATACTTGTTTATTATCTTCAGCTCTCCATCCTCCCCTTTTGGTTGAAAACTTAATCAATGTTTTAGCCTTGTCAATATTTTTCCTATCAAT